GGCGCTCACCGGCCCGTCTTTGAGCGACTTCAGGATCTCGCTCCACAGCTTAGTGTTGTTCTCGTCCTCCTTGATGAGGCTGCTCTGCTGGGCCGTGAGGCTATAGGGCTCCACCTTGCTTTTCTTAGGTGTCCCTCGAGGGGACCCAGCACCAGCCTTGCCCCCTGCCGGCACAGAGCGGAGTGGGTGAGGGCGGGCGGCTGAGCGCGCACGTGGGCGCCGCCCGCAGAGACACCTACCTCCGGACTTGCACTTCCGCTTGCCCTTGCCCTTCTTGGGGGAGGCGAAGCCCCCCTCCTCGTCCTCGTCCTCGTCCTCGTCCTCGTCCTTGGCCTCCCTCTTGGTGTTCTCCTTCTCCTTCTCCTTCCTGGCCCGGGCCTCCAGGTAGCCTTCCGGGTACTGCAAGGGGTCAAGTCGGGCGGTGAGAAGCACAGGGTCCGGGGACCGGGGGCCGCCCCGGCCGGCGCCCTTTCTGCCACCTCACCCCATCGACCTTCCGTCCCCAGTCCCCGCTCTGGCCTCCAAGCCTTGGACTCCCTCTCCCGGCTCAGCCTCCAGGGAGCCTCGGGCAAATGCACCTCCAACTGCCCGACTTCTCAGGAACAAGAGGGCTGAGGGAGCAGCGTGGCCCTGACGGGGCGGAGGGGAAGCGGTCGGACGAGGGGACGCCTGGAAAACGCTGCACAGCAGCTCCAGCGAGTGAGCGTCTAATTATCACCCTCGCTATTTACTTTTGTTAAATGTTTATTTCTTTTTGAGAGAGAGAGAGCGTGCAAGCAAGTGGGAGAGGGACAAAGAGAGAGAGCACACACGAGCAAGCGGGGGAGGCGCAGAGCAAGGGAGGATTCAAAGCAGGCTCCACACGGAGGACGCGGGGCTCGAACCCAAGAACCGTGGGATAATGAGCCGAACAGAAGTTGGACGCTCGGCCAGCTGAGCCACCCAGGCACCCCTATTTCATTCAGAGGTGGGCAAACTCCTCCCCTCCCCAGGCACCAGGCAGGATTTCTGCCTTCGGAGCCCCGCTGAGGCCCCGGAACGAAAGGGGGCGCCCCGGGAGAACTTCATTTACCAAGAAGTGTCCTCAAGGCCCTTGCTCGCCAACCCAATTTAGAGGAGTCTGGGGCTCCTCTGGGGTCTGACAGGCATTACTGAGTTAGAACCCCATCTCCGAGGCACCTCCAGTCCTGTGGGACTTTCTGGGGTTTTGTCAAGAGATCGACAAGCTTCTTTAGGAACACAATCGTTAAGTCGTGAATATTCCGGGAGCTGGTGTTCCCGACGTCCCCTGGCTGTTTCCCTCTCCCGTTCCTGAGCCTCTGAAATTCTCCGAGGTACAAACATCATGTTCAGAAGACGACTCTTTGGTGACCCTCGGCGGGGGGGGTATCTGATTCTCAGTGGCAATTAAGATTCCTTAAATAGTCCCACACCGACTTATCAGCTGTAGAGACTCGCCGTAATGAACAGAAAAGCCATAATTATGGTGCAGCAAAGGCGCGCCCCGCACCGGGTGAGCCCTGGGAGGTGGGATCGGGAGGTGGGCGCCCCGGCCGCGGGGCGGAGGTGAGCGAGTGCTCGGAGGGCGTACCCCTCCCCACGTCACACCGGTTTTGTGGGTTTGCCCGGAGGTGCCGTGGAGCCTGGCGAAAAGGAGGAAACCGGATTCCGCGCAGATTTCACACAAACCCCTCTCGGAACACAGCTCTCACAAGGAAGTGTGGTTCTCCACCCTCGAACCACGAACACAAACACCACCCGCCCACCCCCAAAATCCACGGGATGAACGATCCAAAGGGTACAGCCCGCGAGGTGCAACCAGGTGCCCAGAAATCACTTAAGATCACAGGAACCTGGGGGAGCTTCCGGCCGGGAAGGCGGGCCCCCCCTGGCCGGGCCCTCGCTGCCCAAACCTCCCTGAGGCAGGCTCTGCCCCGATCCCCAGCGACCGGCCGGGAAGACGAGGCGCGTCGCGGGGCAGCTCCTGGCTCCGCGGGCATCGGGCCAGAGGAGTCCAGAGCGGGGCTCCCAGGCGGGAGACGGCAGGCCCGGCCTGGACGCACCTGCATGGTCAGCCCCAGCTTCTTGATCCGGTCCTTCCCCTCCTTCGTCCAGGGACCAGGTTCCGCATCGTCCCGCCGGAGCAGGTAGCGCCACACCAGGAAGCCGGACTTGCCCTTCTCCGGCCAGTACCTCACGACCTGCGGGAGGCGGCCGGCGTCAGCAACATGTGGGGTCTGGGGCCGCACGGGGCCGGCGGGGGCAGGCGGGGCCGCTCACCTTGTAGATGCCGTCGTACCGGTTGCCCTCGGCGGGGGCGTACTTGCTGTGCTTCCGACCCTTGACGTTCCGCACGACCCGCACCGGCTTCCCCGACCGCCAGTCCTTGGCCTCGGCCCCTTTGCGGTCGTTGATGGGGGCGCTGCAGTTCAGGGCCAGCGCCCTGGGGGGGGGGGGGGGGGAGAGCGAGGCCCCGTGAGGGAGAGGCCAGCTGGCGTCCCCCGGAAAGAGAGGCTCACGCTCTCGCCACTAGGGCGCGGGCCTGACCTTCTCTGGAAAGAGGGTGTGGCAGATGGGGGTCAGGTTCAAAAGAGACCAGAGCGGGCTAGTGTGGCCCTGACTGTCCTTATGGAAAAAGGGTATGGGGGCGGGGGGGTGTCTGGGTGGCTCAGTCGGTTCAGCATCCGACTCTTGGTCTCGGCTCAAAGTCACGAATGATCTCAGGGTTCGCGAGGTCGAGCCCCGGGTCCGGCTCTGGGCTGAGCGTGCAGAGCCCCACTTGGGATTCGGTCTCTCTCTGTCTCTCCGCCCCTCCCCCGCTTGCTGTCTCTCTCAAAAGAAGTTTTAAAAGCTTTAAAAACATTAGTTAAAAAAAAAAAGGAACAAGGAACAGAGGCAAGAAGCCCACGTGAAGGAGGCAAAGGCTGGAGGGACGCACCCACGAGCCACGGGAC